AAGAGCGTTAAACAAAAGTTTAATATAAAAATATATTGTTTATTTATTATACATGAGAATCGATATTCTTATGAAATCATTATAACTCACATGTAATTCTAAAATGGTGTAATAATTGCTTTGAACATATTCTCTTTGTGTTTTAATATGTGATGATATATTTGATTGCAGATCAACGTGAATATTGAATTATCCGTAATTAAAATTATTTTTAAAATTATATGGTTTTGTTTAGATGGCAAATGTTCGAATTTTTTTTAAGAACTTATTATTTGAATGCTTAAAAATACAACTTATTTTAAACGTTTAACTATTAAAATGAATCAGTGTCTATATATATAATTATTTTCTCTTATAATTAACTATATTTTTGTGTATTTATTATAAATAGCTTTCTTGATAAATAGTTTAACCAATTAAAACAAATAGATATGGAAAATAAAGATATATGAATAATATATTCAGGAGGCCTAATAATTAGCGTTGAAACAATTAGTATAATCCTAGTTTTAGTCAAAGTCTCCATTATTCTGATGCCAATGCTGACAGGGTGTGAATTACTGAAAAGAAAAGAATTAGAAGATTATTATCGATTTCAAATGAAATAAAGGAAGCTTCATCTCTAACTGGGTTTTCTGTAATTGAAGGTGATTTTGTTTTAGCAATAGCAACCAAACATTGTATTTGAAAATCAAACCGTTTTTCTAGTATCTCTGTTGTTAACCATGATTTCAACGACACAACTATTTATTTCGCTCTACAATCATTAGTGCTTGCAAGTGACCACTACAGCATACACAAACTATGAGGCCCTTCAATCAACATATGAGCTATTCATGCTAACCAATAAAAAATTCTCTTCACTCCCTTATGTTTGAGCACAACAAACTTAATTGAGAATTTAGAAAATAAGTTGATGCGACATTAATCTCCATCTTCATTAACATACACTTCAAAGATTAAAATCTAGACTCCGAACACTACGTTTAGATTCAAGCACCAACATTCCACTGTTTGTCTAGCTTTTGTAACCTTGGTACGCCAATTCAAGAGGTATAACTTCATTTCAAATTCAGAATCATATTTCATGTCTAAGTATAAAAAACCGCCACTTTCTAATTTTGCAATAGCACAATCAGTTTTATCCCAGTCATGGATTATTGCGTAGAATTATTCACTGTACAACAGGAAAAACAAATTATAGATTGCATTATTTATAGTGAACATTTTTCCAAAGAATTTTTACAATCGTCGAATTTTACGAGTACAACACAATTTGAAATAAAATTGAACAAGTATTAATTTAAAACGCACTTTTTGTTTAACGAAAATAAGACCATGGTTGCTGGAGGGACAAACCAAATTCTAAAAATTTGCTCTTGTTTCAGTGAGACATATCCATTCAGTTTCCGACCAACATGAACATGACCCAAAAGAGCTTTTTTTCTGGATAGAGCTATTAGAAATCAAATACAAAAAAATGTTTTTCAGATTATCGCATTTCAAAAGATTGCCTTTTACCAAGCACTAAATAGATCAACATAAGAAAATAGTTAAAGCGTTTTTCACCAAATTGTTTCAAACCCAACGCGATATTCTTTGAAGCATAACATTAAAAATTCAAAGAACATGGATTTGATATGAAGCTTAGCAAGATTAGGCAATTAAATTCGCTTGGTTTTCTGGTGTTCAGTAGCTTGGCTTTTATTTCTCATGGCTTCTGGATATGGATAGAAAGGGACTTATCAGCAAAACAAAAGGTTGCCGTGAAAAGAAAGCTAAAGGGCAGAACATGATGAGATAATATCATCGTATAAAAGGAAGACTTCGAGAGGATGACAAAGTGTTTGGGGTTAAGGTGAAAATGAATTTATAAAATTAGACAATTTAAAATCACAATGGGAACAATCATATTTTAAAATTAAAAATCTTGGCATAAGATAGAAAAAACAGTAAACTAAAACAATATAACATGAACAAACTCATCACAACGGAACAATCATTTTAAAATTAAAAAACTTGGGTCATAAAATAGAAAAACAGTAAACTAAAACAATACAAAATGAAGAACAAATTCCCCTATTCTAACAACAAAATGGAAAAAAACATGAAAAGCAACCTCAGCCAGCATTAAACAAATTAGTCAAACAGACTGAAACCCATGTCATCATCAGATTCTTCGGCCGGCTCTTCCTTCTTTTCCTCTTCTTTGGCTGCAGCAGCTGGAGGACCCGAAGCAGAGGCAGGAGCAGCAACAGCAGCTACAGCAAATTTACTTGGGTCCTGCATTTTAAATAAAAATTTATAAACAAAAGAAACGAAACACAATACTGTAGATAATCAAAACGTCAAATTATTACCTTCAGATATTCTTTGACCTTGTCTGCCTCAGGGAAAGAATAATCTGTCTCAACAGCAATAGAAAGGACATTCTTATAGGCATTCACAAACATATGTGGTGCAGCTGCAAGTGTTGGGAATGAGATAGCCAACGAAAGAGAAGTAACCATGGAAACACCGGCGGCAAACTTCTCAATGAGGTCATCCTCAGTAAGATCCAGGACCTCAGGGCTAAATACAGACCCATTATCATAGACGGAAAGAACCACAAGCCCATATGAGAAGGGTCTTATGCCAAGTTTAGCAAGCAATGCAGCTTCAGAAGATCCAACCTTCTCTCCCTTCTTAATGAGTTCCACAGGGGTAATGATTTCCACAGTACCCTTGTTAATCTTTGTTGGAATATTCAGAACCTAAAACAATAGAGCATAATCACATAATCCACAATAATAATAATAATAAAGAACAGCATAAGATTTTAGTTTCTATTACTGTATGTTTTCTCACATTCTAGACTTACACTTTGGTTCCGTTTTTTTCATTCTAGAAAATAGTTTTAAAAATCACCAACCTGGAAGAAAGAGGTCTGAGATGGATCAAGACCAGTGTTGCCAGGAGGAACAACAACATCAATTGGGGCAACCAACCCAACGCGAGCAGGAGCTCCAACCTGTTCAGGTTGAATACAATTTGAGCGAACAGTCAGTTAAAATGAAAACACGAACACTAGGATAACATTTGCAGAATATAGAAATATAAAACTGAACTATTTGTAGAACATCTTAACGTCTTGAACAAAACCTTCTTGAACAAAATTCAAGAGTCATAACAGGGAACCAATTTTCATGAGTAAAATTAAGAACAACACATTGTAATCACGAAGTATTTCAAAGCATGATAATATAATAAAAAAAAAATAACTACTACACTTAATAGATACAATCCATAAATAGTTAAGCTTTGTTTATGCAGATAAAAGCAGTATCATTATTCAATACAGAATGTAATAAAAGAAAATAAAATAAAAATATCAGTTTACCTTGTACTTAGCAACCTCCTCACTGACCTCCTTCAAGTCACCCTTGGTGAAAATCAATCCCACATTGCCCTAATTCAACGCAAACCAAGTTCTCTCAACCAAGCAATTAAAACACTAAAACTAGTTTCTACTATTTGAACAAAACACGCATATACACAACGGTAAAGATTCAAAAGGTTAAGGAGAAAGGGAAACTCACGACAAGGAGGGGGATTAGGTTTAGAAATGCGTTGTTGCCTGTTTTCTCTGCGTGTATCCTGACGGAACGCTTCATCATCGTGTTTTTCCCCATGAGGACGACGGAGTCGCCGCGGAGGCCTTTGCGGATGTTTTGGAGCTGGTTGGATCCCACGTTATCGGCGTTCACCACAAGGATTTGGCCGTACTCTTCCAGAAGCTGGCAGAGCTTCCCATCGTAAGCGATCTTTTTCTCTGCCTTGGTTTGTTTAGGTGCCATTGAAAATGATGATGATGATGACTATGTTGTCTGTGACCGGAAGTTTTGCAAGGCAAAATCGAGGGCCAAGACGAAGCTCTGGCTTGGTCAAGGCGGACAGCAAAACGGTGCCGTCTCTTTAACCTCTTCTTTGTTGAGGTATTCTGCAGAGGAGTGAGGCAAAGAAATGGAAGCTAGTTGAAGAAAACAGCGGAATGGTGCGTCTAGTATAAGTAATATATTAGGGTTTTTGAGAAACCTAAATCTCACGGTTCTGATTCATTCTATGTAACGAATCGGACGGCTCGTGTTTACAAAGGCCCAATGGGCTTCAATTATAATTGTTTTGGGATGGTTTTTTAAATAGAATATCCATATGAATGTATTCATTCTTGTATATTTTGGTGTTTCATTTTTTTTCTAAAGATTTTAATAATTGAATAAATTAATGTCTTTAATTTATCAAAGTTTTGTGTTTAATTTTTATTTTTTAATAATTTTAATAGTTGAACAATGAAAGGAACCAAACAATAATGAAAATAGTAAAGCGATTTAATGATATTGTTGAAACTCTTTTTTTATCAACATATATTTCTTGATTTCATTTTTATTTTCAATTTTTTTTTGTTCAAATCTTTAAATATGTTAAAAACTTAAAGATCATAATAAAAAATTAGTCACGACAGCTCCGATGTGTCCATGTTTCGGTAAGTAACAAAGACAAAATTATATGGAAATAATATGTATTATAAAAACAGATACCAAAATTGGTATCTTTTGTATATTATATATTATAAGAGATATCAACTTATGATTTTATCAGTGGATAGTAATGATTAAATTGATTTTATATTTATTGTATTGATTTAAAATAGAATAATTGAATGTTTTGTAGTTATTTTTATTTTAAAGGTGAACAAGATTTCTTTTGGTCTAAATTTAAAATTCACCATATATATTATTAATTTCTCTCTTCATAGTACCTTTGAATTTATCGATTTTTGGTTATTTATATTTATGTTTATCTAAGAGAACATTTGGTACATGAGAAATTCTCCATCCCAATAACCATGAATCCTAATAATTTATTTTCTTAAAAACAACTAAATTAGATTTTGGTGGGTAATACAACGGACATTAAACTAATCTACAGTCTCTGGTTCTTCTTATTTTCTTCATGCCAATTTACTTGGTCTGGACACCTCTCTGCGCTTCACTATGATAGGATACCTCTTCTGCGTCCTAGTGGTTGGGAAAAACACCAACTTATCTTCTTCTGCCGGAAACCAACTGTCATAAAAGACAAATAACATTAGTCATACACTTGTATTAATGAATTTTATTCGTCTAAGTCTCAAGTCGGGAAGTAAGGAAAAAAAACAATTAACATTGCCATAATATTTATAAGCAATGTCTGATTTAGGCATTAAATTTTTTTCTTTGTCTTGGTTTACAAACATAGAAAAGGACATTTCATGTTATAATAGGTGACAATCTGACTACAAAAATCACTTTAAAGTCTGCTAATAGTGATACTTTGGTTCAGTATAGTACCTATAACGGGTGACAATGCGGTGAAGGAAGATAGAGAGTACAACTCTGGCAAGCTCATAACCAGGGCAAAGACGTGGCCCTCCTCCAAATGGGGTATATACATTCCCAGGGCTAGTTGCTTCAGAGTTACTCTGCATTTTTTACTCATAACTATAAGCTACTGATACATACAAATCTAAGGGCGATTCAACGCAGAGCAATGAAATACGAGAGTTACCTGCCATCTCCATGGATTGAAGGTGCGCGCATCTTTGTAATGATCAGGGTTTAGATGTACAGCACGAAATGAAGCAAAGACCCTCCATCCCTTTGGGATAGTGTAACCTATTTTTATTTCAAGGAAAGGTTAAAATTGAGATATAATTTTTGCCCATAAATATAATTGGTAATTAGTAGTTAGTAATTGATACCTTTAATGTTTATGTCTCTCATTGCTCTTCTAAATATCCCACCAATTATGTTTGCCACCCTCAAAGTCTCATTCACAACCTATATTTTGCACAAGATTAATAATAACGACAAACTTGATAGAACCTGTTTGTGCCTTTTGTATCTGTAATTAGTTTTTTGTCAACTGAGTTAGAGTTAAAATATTCTTACACATTGAGTAAATGCCATTGACTTGTAATCTGTCCACTCCAGTGGTTCCTCTGGATGACCCTTCTTGGCTCTGATTTGATCATGCTCTTCCTGCCAAAACACACAAACAACTCCCCCATCAAATTCTCTACTTTGGTTCTACTTCTACTTTATAATAATTGAAGGCACAATGCAACAATGATCGTATTTTAGTAATAATATATTATTAATGACTGCTAATAAATGAAGTTGTGCACAACCCAAAGAAAGTTATGCTGTGGTGACAGTGGGACCTAATAAGTGATACCATTATCAGCATCTTTCACTTAATATGGACCATTTGATCATAATTATCCTCGAAATCAGCATATATAATGCGATTTATTTTCCAGTGGCATGGGAGGGGACCAGAGACATAACTCTGCAACAAAATAGAGCCAGTGTTCCGCACATACCAAGTACATCTGAAATGACGCATATGCCCCTTAGGTGCCAGTCCGGTCAAAACACTAAGTGTGATCACTGATCAGATTATTATTCTCTGAGTTTTGGTGATGACATATTGACAATCGGCAGCAAAACTCCGAAGCGTGCAGTTCGGGTTAATAATTTTGTCCAGTTGGTTCAACCAATTTTACTAGAGGTGTTTTATCTTTCAACGTGTCTCCGCATAGTTTCTATAATAAGTTCGTTAAGCAATAAAACCATTTTTAAAATGTTATCACCATATCCACAATATCAATACAAGACAATTGCCGGCAATTTAAAGGCAAGCCTACTAATTCAAATCAACTTTGAGTAAAGTGAAAGTTTTATGAATCAATTTTTATGCAATTGTGTGTTAAACATATGACTATCTAGGCTTTAGACATAAGTGATTAATTTCAAAAACTGGATTAATGGTGAAATTATGTAAAAAAAAAAAACTAAACCCAACCCACCAAAGGTCTTCTTCATTTATGATTATTCTGTAGAAGCCAATGCATGAGTTACAAGTTTCAACCGTATGAACCGAGTTGGAAAGTTTATGGAACAGGCTTTGACCATAAGCAAGTTTCAATTGAAATTGAATTAGACGTGCACAAAACAACAAAACCACCCATCAAACCTTTGCTTTCTTTTGTCTTCCTCTCTCACCGTCATAAACGAAGCCTCTCTACAATTTTTTTATTTTTATTTTTAAGATTAGGTATTTATATATCAAGACATTAACTTATTATTTTGTCACTTTAGCTATGCATTGGTAAACAAATAATGTGACGGCAGGCAAAAATATAGGTGAATCTAGAGCGGAGAAATGGAGATAACCAAAATGAGATTTGAAAGGAGACCACGGCACATGAAGGGTGGTCATGGACATGGACATGCACACGATGGTGGGGTAATTCTAAGGAAGGATCTACATCTGTATGGTCCACTACCCTAGCTATACATATTTTAATTAAGAAATATTGAAAAATAAAAAATAATAAGAAAATGGTTAATACCTTGAGTTGTGCCAATGCCAGAGGAGTCTCGGTGAGGAATTTGACGGCAAGAGTCATTATGGTGGAGGTGGTTTCATAACCGGCGACGAGCAAAGCCAACATAAAATCCACTATTTCCTCGTCGGAAAAGTGGTTGCTGGAGGCCAACAATGCTCCTAGCATGTCATTCTTTCTCTCCTCCTTTACGCTTTCTTTTCTTCTCTCCCTCACTATCAACGTTAATGCCTCTGCCACCTTTGTCCTAGCCTACACAATTATACACTTCCTTATCTATCTTTAACTCTTTTACTTTCCCTCCAAATATTTATAATTTATTACTATCTCATTAAATATATAAGAGAATTTAAAGGCCATGCACCTTGATGGCTCTGCGGTAGGTGGTTGAAAAGAGAGGCAATGGAAGAGTGAAAAATCCTTCGATCACAAGAACGTACTCTTTTCTAAGAGTCTCAGTCCATTCACCTGGATCAAAGCTCATCAACTGCTTCACTGTCAACTCAAACGTTATCTGCAAGTAATCCAACAAAGCTAATCAATTTTTTTTATTTTAATTGTTCATGTATATATATATATATACGTGTGTGTGTGTGTGCCCATACTTCAAACCATACAATATAATATGCAAAAACATGTCATGTGAACAACAAAATCACACATGTATGTATCTAGGGAATGATTAATATATATTCTTCTGCACCCATATACCCATTCTAGTTAACGTGGGGCCTCGTACGTACGGAATTGGACACATTATACCAAACCATGGAAAATGAGTCACCAACTCCAGTCCATTTCCATCACGTAAATCACACTCAGATGCTAAACATCAACCCACAAACTATTAACTAATCAAACTTTTCAGCACCAATCAACCAAAAAGCAATGGAATAAAATACTAGTTAGAACCAAAAGGGAAAAAAAGACGGACAACAACACCACTGATGAACTTTGAACTGAATAAACAAAACAAGGAAAATCCTAATAAACATTACGAGGCGCTAACAACTGGTCCACCACCTCCCCAATATTATCATTCAGGTTCATGTGATGGTGGCAAGTGAGCTCCACTCGAACGATCCACAGCCTGGTTGACTCAGACACTCGACTTTGGGAAAGCTAAATCAAATTCATTTGCTTTTACTTGTGAAAAATATATTCCTATTAACATCAAACTATTCTGATATAGGAAACAAGTACCATCCCATATCAAATTTCTTCTGGTTAAAAATATCAGTTGATTCATGTCACCAAGAAAAATGAAAATAATGATAACAACCTAACCTTTTTGGCTTCTTCCATGAGAAGAACCCGGTCGGACCAGGAATCGAGGTTGAGCCGGATGAGACGGTCTATGTCAACCAGCAAATGATCCTTGATGATGGGAGAGTTGGCGAAACTCATGGTGAGGGAGTGCATTCTCTTGTGAAGAGAGCCCTTCATGAGAAGCAGAGAGTGTTTTCCGAGGAGGTTCGATATGGAACCGGGGTAGCTACATTCAAAGAGTTTCCCTTCGTTGAGCAGAATGAACCGGTTCGTCTCCGGGTCGGCGGAGAAGACTGTGGGTTCACCGAAGACGTGTGTGGTGAAGATTGGACCGTAGCGGTGGACGCGGTGGTCGATGAAGGGTTCGGGGTTGTCGGTCTTGTAGGCTGATATGAGCTGGAGGGTCTCGCCGGCGAAGGGGAGGCCGAGGGTGCCCGGCGGGAGGCGGAGGTGGAGGCGGCGATAGCGGGATCGGCGGTGGACGAAGAGGAAGAGGGCGGAGATGAAGAGAAGGATGAGTGGTGTTGTTATGAAAGATGCCATTGAAGTAATAGTAAGAAAGTGATGGAACTGATCGTGTGTGTTCCTATCTGTATATATACGAATGTTACTTATGTTGTATGGTGTCTGTGTAGGAGTATTTTATGGAGAGTGGTGAATGAACGGTGATGGTTTCGAGAAAGGAAGATTAATGGAGGGAGAAGAGGGAGCACATGTGTGTGATATGAGAATCTGAAAGGAGAGAAAAAGGAAATAAACGAGGGATATTTTGGCATCTCAGCAACTTTGTTCTTTCTTCTACTAATTTTTCTGTCAGGATAAGACTTTCCTTTGGGTGGGGTACTTTCCCAACCTTTCTTTCTTTCTTTCTTTGCCCAATATCAGTGATACTGGTTATATAATATGTTAAATATGATCATGTGTGTTTTCTTTTGCATTTCTTGAACTTACATTGTAGTTTTTTTATATTCATCAAAAATAATTTATTTCCAATCCACAATCTGTGTTATAATATGATGTTTATGAAAAATAAAAATATTTCGAAGATAATAATAATAATTAAAAAATATTTTTTTATTATTTATTTGCATTCTTTTTCAGCTAATTAAAATAATTGTATTTTTCATTTAATTTTTTTCTTTCACTTCCACTTGAGGAAATATAATATGTTTAGCATAAAAATACTAAAATAAACAAGGGAGAAAGAAAAGGAAATTGTTTACAAGTGAACATGAAGTAGAAGAAAGTAAATTGACATTAATACGTGGGGTTTTCTCTTTTACTTCTTTCCAAATTTTAAAACAAATAAATATATAATATAATAAAATATTTTTATGTTTTAAAAAAATAATATTATTATTTTTGGTTTTAAACAAATATTATATTCAATTATTGTTATTATATAAAATGTTTACAATTAAACAGTTTATCAAAATTCTATTTATGGTTAAATTTATTGTTATTTAAAACAGTTGATTAAAATATTGTGCAATGTTTTCTACAAAAAAGCAACATTTGAATAGGGCACTATGATCCATATGATGAAAGTCAAAATATATGGGCATTTTGTTGGAGAGTAAGATGCAAGGTGCAAAGTGCAAAGTGCAAGGCTCACATCACATGTGCTCCCAAACTTCACCAACATAAGGAAGCCCTCAAGGCGCGTAGCACTCTTTTCTTTATGATGCTATAAACCACTACCCTACTCACTTTTCTACTCTTTCGTCTTTCCATGCTTTCAAGTGATGTGCATGTGTATTGTTTTGCCCCACAACATAAAAAATTTAAAATACCAAATTTTTTTTCTAAGTACAAGATCTCACATACCAGAGTATGTGACCTATAACCTTATTCTTTATGCAATATGATGAGCTCACGTGATATTTGTTGTCAAATTTTGGTGATTTTTGTGAACCCTTACTCTATAGTCGCATAACCTTAAACATTTTTACACTTAATTTCTTCACCCAAGAATGACATCCATTAAAAGTGTGAGGACAGTTCTTAAAAGAGTAATCAAGTAAGCTTAAACTCACCCACATGGAAGAGAGTACGATGAAGTGGAAGATGACATGTTACCTCAACTACATGGTCCCGTGAAGGGACATCAACCTCTCTACCCACTACACAAACCAATTTTGACAATCTCCTTTTCAAACAATTCCTCTTACAATCCAATTTTATAAATATAATAATGATAAAAAATTTAATAAAAAGTAAAAATAAATTAAAATTATTGTTATAATATTAAAAATGGGTTGTTTTTGAAAGCTATCACTTTTCATCTTTTATTTTCAATGCGTTTATTACATTCTAACTTAAATCCTTATATCAAAGATTATATATATTTTAAAAAATTAAATAACAACCATTAATGAATATCAAATATCTATACACATATTAATAACATATAATAATAAATATATTAAAAATAAAAATTATTTATTTTATTATAGATTTTTAATTGTTTAAAAATATAACAAATTGACTAATTTTTAAATAACTAGACATGGATCTATAATAAAAAACAATGGATTTATTTCTAAGTAATTCTTTCAACAATCTATACCCTAACTATTATAATTTTCATTTTTCGCCGAATATTTTGAACATTATGTGTGTAGCACCATGGCTAGATTTTTGGTTTAGAGACAATTTTTGTGTTTCAAACATGTTTACTATCTTTCGATCACTCCGGGGATTGGGAACGCTGGTCCAATAACTCTCTATTAAATATTCAATGATTCCAAATCTTCCTTTACCATCACTTTTTAGTCCTTCTACCCATTCTACCAGAAATACTACAGTAACTATAGGAAATGATATAGGACTTTTCTATCAATAAATAATATTTTAATATGAATTTTATTGGTATGAGTTTTCAAAATTGAAAAAAAAAAATCATTTGTAAACAATATGCTATGCCATTTTTATTGAATTAAAATTTTCATAATAGTAAAAATAATATTGAATAAGCATCACATTTACTATCTGATAAATACAGAAACAAAAACTGTATTGTCTCCACTTTAAAGCTATGAAGGACCACACAATCTCATCACAATCTCCAAAATCTCCAAAAACTTGAAATTTATCGCATCTAATGATTTTGGAAGAACTAGTTTCAATTTTTGGTTTTTATCTCAAAAGCAGATGTTAAAATTAATACTCGAGATTTTACTTAAAAATGACTTAATCATAACCCTATATATTATTGTGTAACTTCTTCTGATATTGATATGGTCAAATTCATGAACGTTGAAATCAAACCATAAAAAAAATAACGTGATGACGTCATAACATCTGAGAATATTAAGTTGTGATTTAGGTTGATTAATGATTAAACTGATAATGATACATGATAAACTGTCTAATTATTTATGTCCACTGATAAGATGAATTTAACGACAAATTCATTCCTCAAATAACACTTTTTATATGATAAATTAAAGTTTTAAAACAGATTATATAACAAACATAAAATTTTATTTTATGTATATGAGAAGAGCATTAATTGATTTGGGCTAGGGTACGGAAAGTGTGATCTCTTTCACAGTTTCCAATGACTGTCCTACCCACTTGTCCGCACGAATGGGTTGTGTGTCAGTCCACACTAACTCACTCCCTGCACGTGTGCCTCACCTCTCACTTCACGTGCACTCACATTCTCTTTGCTTCGTCTCTTTCGCTCCTTTTCTTTAATTTAGTATTTCTCATGTCTATTCAATCAAGTGGATCTGTTTTCCCTTCCTCCAATTCTTGATCCAAAGTGACTCAAAGTTGAAAAGGGAAAAGTTTAACATGGTTACACTTTTCTTAGTTTTTTTTTTTTTTTTTTCTCTCTCTATCTCTCTTTTTACATCAAACACTATATAAGAACCAAATCCTAATTCCTAATTGATTTCAGCAAATTAGTTATTATACTCTTTACAGCCTATTAGGTTATTATGGTTCTCAATTGTGAAAAAATAAAAATAAAAAATTCTAACGACGGGTTTGGAAAGTGGTTTACCTTTAATAATTGAATCAAGATCAAGTTTTTATAATATCCCATCATCCAAAACACACACATGTTACTGGGCCACAACACAATTGAGATACTTCTCCTACTGCATGTGATAAAAGGAAGGCATGCTTCACATGCCATCATAACTCCATGTTTCTGTTTCTTTCATACCATCGCTTTGCACTTTCTGTTTACACTTAATTGTATGTATGGGTTTGTTTTTTTTCTTATCTGCTATGTTAAATTATTTCAGTATTTTTTTTCTTAGAGTTTTATATAGTGGATAACTTTTTCGTATAAGCAATATTTATTGTATGTTAAAATAAAATAAAATCAAGGTATAATTTTATTTTTTTCTCACACGTATTTTATGAGGAAAATTAATAATTTTACGAATTCATTGTATTTATTATTAATCTGGAGTAAAATAGAATATTATTAAATAATCCTATAAATATGTTATATTAACAATGAAAAAAAATAAACTTTTTATATGATAAAAGTGGACATGTATAAATTGGGCCATACATTTGTCAGTTTCTAAGACATTACCTGTTGATGGACGATGTTATACCCAATGGGCTTAACGGCCCACTTTTATACAAGGTTCACGAAGTTGAAGAAAAACACACATACGCACTAATTGAAAATAATTCCTTAATCGTTTTGGAAAAACAAAAATAAGGGGAAACTGTAATAATGACTTTTAAAATATAAAAATAAAAGTAAATTATAAAGAAAATAAAATGGTTCATTTACATGCATACTATGACTATTATTGTCAATATTATGAAAATATATCCGAATAATATTGTTTTGGTGTAAAAATCCATATAAATAAAACTGTGAAAGTATGAAAAAAGAAAGTTTAAAACAATTCATAGGTTAGGTTGTTTTAACGTAATCCCGTGACAATTCATCGAAGTGAAATGAACTTGGAACAAAATTGTATTGCAAGTAGTTAAGTCAAGCAAGCAAAGCAACCTTTCATTAACAATTGAATACACAATAACATCTTATTATTATTACAATTGTTTTAAACATACTAACAATCTTTTTTTTTTTTTTGCTTTCACAATTTAGAGTATATTGTGGCAAGATTATTGATTACAAATTACAATGAATGATATTCAAGGAAAAGAATACATATTTTTTCATTAGAAATAACCATATACATATTATTAACATTAAATATCACAGTTTGAGCAATTTGTTTCCTTTCAATTATTATTATTATTTCATTATTGTGTTTTAACAACATTGAAACAAAAAATGAAGTAAAGGAAGAAAAGGTTATATAATAATAAATAATAAATAAATATTTAAACGGGAAGAAGAAACGTCTTGTCGGGTTCTCCTTCGCAGAAAAAGCGATGATTGATTGCTTCTCTCTCCACATTTCTTGCAACTCCTCCTCTTCTCTTTTCTTCCCTTCTCAGGTAATTTTCAACGATTCCCTTTTCCTTCTTCTTCCCCTTCTTCTGCTTCTCTCACTCCTCGATTCACGCTATGTCTAGATTCATCACCGCTTCAATTTGACCTTTGCGTGATTTCGCTTTGACTGGGTCATTTCTTTAGTTTCGCTTTGACCCTTCATCTGACAATCCTCGTTGATCTTCACCCTAGTATTTTCCGATTTGAGCTATGGGGAGGTTGTTTGTGGTCCATCTCGAGGGCAAGGTATATAGCTGCAAACACTGCCGCACCCATCTTGCTCTCTATGAAGATATCGTTTCCAAGGTTGTCTTTTTATTTATTTTCTTTCCTTCACCTACTTTTATGACTCACTTTTGTTTTTTGTTTTCTTTTTTTGCTTCTGGGTTTTTATCTCATCCTTGTTACTTTTGTCCGTTGGATGATGAGTTTGTGCACTAATGTGGGTTTGACTATCACTTCATCTGCTTGTCTAGCATGCTTTTTCTTTCTCTCTAACAGTCTGTCCATACAATTTTGAGAGTGCAAATTGTTATTTTTAATGGTTGATTTGCTATACATCTTTTAGTTTTTGTTTACTTATATTCCCTTGGCTCAATTTAAGATTTTGTTATTCTTCTCCCAATTGCTTGGTGGCAAAATCATGTGCTAAGGTTTTATATAACTTGCGTGGTTTTTTTAAAAGCTTTGAAATACGTATTGCTTTCTGTAGCACACTTATGAGTCTTAATTTACGAGCCTTCACCTGATGGCTATTAGTTAAAACATTCAGGAGGGTTGGTTTTTGTTGTGGTATCACTGTCTTCGCGATCAAGCAATTAACAGTTTAATCTTTGACTGAATTGCATTATTGTTTACCTCTTATTTTGTAAATGAAGATCCCGTAAATTATGTAGATATTTGTTGTGTTTATTTTTGTTTATAAATTGTAATAGTTAATGGGCACAAGTGCTTGTGGAGGTAACCCTTCTTTGTTGGTTTAACTCTGATTAATGAACTCGTTGCTGGGTGTTCTTAGATAATAACTATTTACTTTGTTAAAAAGAGAAGGAGAAAGGAGATAATTTTCTGGTTGTCTGTATGACCAGAGGAGAACCCGAGAAAGATGTTCTCTACATAAATGGCTTACCACTGTGGTTTGGCTGGTTCTGCGTGTTTATAAGAGGAGCTGTTAGAAGCCAAACTATTCGGATTTTGATTGTTCATACTTTTGTGAATATAAGATGTGCAAATAAAGTATAGGTGGCAGAATTTTGTGTCTCCCTTGCTCTTTACATGCAGAAGTGCTCCCATCCTCTTACATCGAATCTTAGCCCACTTGATTATCTCGGTTGGAGATAATTTGTTGTGTTAAGTAGTACTTCGATGGATCAAAGTATAGTTTATGCCATTGTATTTATTTTGCATCTTCATGTATTGCCTTTGAGCTTTGGCTCACTTTTTTTATTCACATCTGGAAATTTTTTATTGGCTTTCCATATAATATATATTCTGACTACCATTTTTTCTGGTGCTTTATTATTCAGTCTTTCCACAGTAGACATGGGAAAGCATATCTCTTCAGTAAGGTGTAAGTTATCCTTGATCTTGGAACCATATCACTATGTGATTGCCAAAATACCCAAGATAAACGTTCTCTTTTGGTATTTGCATGACTGTATGAGGACTATCAGCCATAAAAATTTGGAATGTAGTTGTATGCCACTTACATTGTCTAAAAATAAGACCAAAAAATTAAGAGAAATTTGATGACATTTTATTTCTCCCAGAACTTGTCTGAGTATATACATTACATATTGCTATATTTTTATGCATGTCCATCATGAATCCACTCTATGACTTCACAATGGAAAGCATATGTGTATCACAGCTACATAGCAATAACAATGCATAATTGTTACTCCCATCAACTGACATTTAGGTGATTGTGGATATTGTAGCTTGTAACCAAAGTATTATGCAGAAGAGATGTCTTTGTTATTCATGGCTTCTTGCCTCTGAATGTCCAAAGCTCTAGCCACGTTATGTTTTACAGTTGATTCTGTTCATGGATGCAGTTAATGTATTTTATTCTTTTACAGTGTGAATGTTTCTGCTGGAGAAAACGAGGACAGACAGATGCTCACTGGGATGCATACTGTGGCTGACATTTTCTGTGTGGGGTGTGGATCAATTGTGGGTTGGAAATATGTAAGATTTATAACAGTGCTTCAAGAGTAAGATTTGTTCTTCTTGTACATAGAATTAAGTAGTTACCATATTGATTTCTTTCAGGAGACTGCTCATGAAAAAAGCCAGAAGTACAAGGAAGGAAAATCTGTACTTGAACGGTAAGAGAAATGTTGTGTGAGAACTGAGAAAACACTGTTAATATGTGAAGTTCTTTGTAGTACAAGTATACTGTGGATTTAACATGTTTTTACTTCTGGCCAGGTACAAGGTGTCAGGTCCTGATGGCAGCAATTATTGGGTCAGCCATGAAGCACATGTTGGTGGAAGTGATGCAGATGATGCTTAGTCATCTGCCTTTGACAATTGAATTGTACATTCTTTAATCCCCCTTCCTCTGTTGTTTAACGATGTGGATTTCATTCGGGCAGTTTAGCAAAATCTGCATTTTGCCCAAAAGACAATTTAAATACATTTCATTGTCATTTCTGATGTAAAAAAAAAAAACTAACGTTAAAACTTGTAAGTTCTAATCAGTCCTGGTTCCGTGCTGTGTATTGATCTTCATTTGCTTTTACCATTTGCCAATAATTGGCATATAGCCACATACTCCAGTACTTTAGGGGTATTTGGTGGTTTTTCTAATCATGCAAATACTCAAATTAAAAAATGGGAAGGGTGTTAAGTTAAACTTATGAATGCGATCCATGGCATCCTTACAAGTTCCTTTTAGTTATTTGACTAAATTTATCTTGTTATATATTAAAAAATCTTAGTAAGTGTTAATGAGACAAACTTTTATACAAATGCTTAATTAAGCAGATTACTTGATACAGTTTAAGAACAACGGCTAATTGAGACCACATTTTGAGGTTACTCTCTATTCCTCTGGATGGTTAAGGGGTGAAGCCCCTGCGAATGGGAAAACTTATAAGCAACGTGTTCCTGTATTCCTTCCCACTGGATAATGTTATAATGGGATACAAGTAACGAGAGTTCCGAATCAACTAAATTCTATATACCAATAGAGAAACACTAGTTGCTTTAAATACATACTTACTGCTCCTATGACAATCTAAGGCAATTATTCGTGATAGACAAGTTATTCCCGCTAAAACTGCTCTTTACAATTGCAAAAGGTTGGCTTTGACCAATAACTGACTAGGCGTCTAAATTTCTCAATTCATTTATTTACTTGTGCCCGAATTTCTCACATCATTTATTCAATTCCGTACTCTCTTTTTCTCTGGGTAGACTCAGCATATACTCCTTCCCTTTAAAATAGCAATACTTACCTTTGTACGCTTTTTCCTTTCTTGCTTTAACAGAAAAAAAGGAACAAAATGAAACGTTAACTACAAGGAAGTAAATGCTAAAAGATTTTTGGATGTCAGACTGGAATATCTTGTATATAACGCACGCCTTAAATTTAAATGGTAAAAAGAAACTTATTTTGGAAACTCCAAATGATTGGGGTATTACTATTTACTTTTGGTTGATATAATTTAATTAATAACTACAATATTTTTGGCGAGAGAAGAAGGTGAGATGTTGAAGAATTATTGAGCGGAAGAGAAGTAAGAAGTGAAGAAGCAAGCGGTTTGGAGTGATGAGTGCATAGTTGCGAAGTCACCGTTGGCAAAAGACTGAAAAAGAGGAGGATATCGTATATAAAAAAAGAGGGCATAACGGTGATTACTCACCCAACTCATCCAATTCATCAACCGTGTAACGTAGGCTTTAAGTGATAGAAATTAAAAACAAGAAGCAGCACCAGCTTCACGGCATCTATTCTTCCCTCCACTCTCCATGCCTTCTCAATGCCACTCCCTTCTCTTCACTCCCACTCTCAATCGAACTTTCTGGAACCCCAACGCCCTCTCTCCTTTCTTCCCTCCACTCTCCATGCCTTCTCATTCTACCTAATCCAACACCCCGCCACTTTGTTTTTTCCGCAACTATTTTCGACCGAAGCCCATTTTATTTAATTTACCTTTTTCTTTTTAAAATTTGAATTTAATTTCTATTTTTGGTTCACGAGGATGCATTCGGTTGGTGCGCGGTTGTTGAGGTGAACGAGGGAACTCGGTTAGGTTCTTTTCTTCTTTGGGGCTTTTCTCCTTCTCCTTCTTCTTTCTCTGCTTCGCTCCATCGATCCCTAATCGTTGTTGCGATTTCGGACATGAATCGGAGCTTCATAGCGCCGGAATCGAAAATGCCAGACGCGTTCAAGCAGAGGCAGCAGCAATTGGGGCCTCTCAGGTCCTCTGCGCGCGCCAGGGACAGGGACGAGGAACTCGCGTTGTTCCTCGAAATGACGAACCGTGAGAAGGAGCGCAACGATCTCCTGCTTCGCGCCGTAGAGGATTTGGACAGTGCAGCCGCGTTAGGTATGAATACCGTCGACAACACTTTTATTTTTTTTTCTGTCGTCGTTTAGTTAATTTTAGCGCGAACAACTACGGAATGGTTATGTCGTTTCCGGGTATGACATGTTTTTGTGTTTCCCTTTGTCACTCGGTTTGTGTTTCGCGTTGCAGGCTCAAATCCAGGCAATTCTCCCTTCTTTAACATTCCCTCTTCCATGGCGGCGCTGGTGCGAAAGACTGGTGCTGACGATTTTCTCAATTCGGAGAATGATAAGAATGACTATGACTGGTATATTCTGTTTACCTCTCTAACTGGTTTATTATTGCTCAACCTATGTGTTTACTGTAATTAGTTCAGTGCAATGATGGCATTTAAGTAGTTTTTTTTTCTTCCTTCTTTTTGTTCGATAAAAACTTGTCGAATGTCGTTCCTGGATATCCTTGTGAAAATAATAAGTTAACACTTTGCACTTGATATTAGCTCTAATGTGCCGCATTTGATCTGCTCTAAAATCCAAATCCCACACAGGAAGCAATTGTAATAAATATCACTTCAACTTTGAAGCAATAACTCTCTTTTCCAATATATCTTTATAATAATTAATTTTCAATCATAAATTATTAGTAGGACTGTATCACTGTTGTTATTTTGTTTTTAACCTCATTCTTATTGCGCATCTAAACCTGAAATCGCTGCCTTTAACTAGGTTCTTGCATAGACTCTGTGTTTGATGCTTGAACAAATGATAAATAAATTAACAGATACTTAACATCCAGGCATAGCTTTACATTATGAAAGATAACACGACATTTTTTGCGACCTGAGCAGAATGATTGCTGTTCAAATTGGGGATTAGCATGATTTTTTCTTTTCAGGCTTCTAACCCCACCAGGGACTCCCCTTTTTCCTTCTCGGGAGATGGAATCAACAAAAACTGTTATGAGTCAGCTTGGGACTCCAGCTGTACGTCCTACAGCATTAAAAGCTAGAGTAAGCAATTTCAATGAATGTTTTAGATTCTGTCAATTATTTTATCATTTTATGGTAATTTGAAGATTTTGTGTTTTACATCTAGTTTTAATTGAATAATGAAATTGTGCATTTCCTTGTAAACTCCTAGTTTTATTTGAAGATCGTTTGTAAGTACTATCATTTCATTGTGCCTGATGAACTACACAGAAAGAAATGGTTTTAGGGATCGGTGAAAAGTATATTTTTTGTGAGTTATTGCATAATTTCAGTTACTGGTGCCTGATCTCAAGTAGCTAATTTGCATACACCGCCCCTTGTAGCAATGACATTCCTGGACTACAAACTGGCTGCTTATTATTTTTGCATTTTTTCCAATTTTCCATGACATGCTTTGATTAATTTATTTGATAATAAAAAGGATCATTGGTTTAAGTCTCAAAGTTATTGAAAGATCCTCTCTTGCTGTTTTCAGTTGTCCTTTAGCGGTTTCTTTATTCCATTCTTTATTCGGCATTTTTGGTGAATGTTGGGTGTTTCCTAGTCCTGGTTTCCTAGACCAAATTGATGAAATACTTCATGGTTTAGGTAGAAGTAAAGAGGCTAACATTTGTGGCTATTTGCGATCTGCACTACATTGTAACACTTCAAACAAAAGAGGTGTCCAAGCTTCAGTCTATTTGGTAGGAAACACATGGGCTTCTGAAAGGGGTTTCCACTATTAACATATGTTGATGTTGGGAAGCTCTGTTACTTAGATTTTCTCTTTTTCAATGTTTGTTTTCTGTTTAGTTACTTTGTTTAGGAGGATTCCTTACTCCCTTTCTGTATATGTAAATTTCTTTTTTAAAAACAGATTATTTGGTTTCACCGTGTAAAAACATATAATAATAATTTTGAGCTTTTTATGTTGATAAAATCATGAAGTAATGCTCTGCATCTATTTGTTAGTTTCGAAGTTGAAAGTAATGCTTGATTTGTGCGTGAACATATTGTTCATAATAGTACGATTTTGTTTTCCTTTCATGCTAATCGTCAGAAAATAATCCTTATTGTATTTGTTTCGTTGTGGTTGTAGTTGGCAAATCCTCCTTCCGAACATACTGGAAGGATAAACTTAGTATCTAAACAACCAGCCTCCTCCCCTGGGTTGACCTCTTCAGGTGGTGGAATTAGGAGGCCCTCATCATCAGGGAATCTGTCAGAACTTACAGGAAGAAGCAACTTTGTATCTAAACAATCAGCCTCCTCCCCAGCGTTGACTTCTTCAGTTGGGGGACATAGGAGGTCCTCATCATCAGGGAATCTGGGATCTAGATCTGCAACTCCTAGTGGACGACCTACATTGACGACAGTTTCAAAATCATCTAGATCTTCAACACCCACTTCTCGGACAACCATACCTTCGACTAGGGCAATGGTAGCTACTATCAAGACCCCAGTTTCCTCAGCCAAGCCCGTGGATTCTGCTTCCAAGACTGTAGTTTCTGTCGTTAAAACTACTATAGCACCTGCAGCTAAAACCACAATTCCATCGAGATCCTCTACACCTTTGTTGAGATCTGCTGCAAGATCATCGACACCAACAACCAGACCTACCTTACCTGCATCGAGGCCTACTTCAAGGGCATCAACCCCAACTAGGCGACCCACAACACCATCTAATGTACCCACCGTATCTTTGCCTTCAGTTAAGACTTCTTCAATCTCCAAGTCAGCTCCTGTGATGTCAAGGCAGCCAGTAACACCTGGGACTTCACCAACTATGAAGTCAAGACAGTGGAAGCCAACTGAGATGCCTGGCTTTTCACTCAATGCTCCACCCAATTTGCGGACAACGCTCCCAGAAAGGCCACTGTCAGCAACTAGGGGGAGGCCTGGAGCACCCAGTCAACGGTCCTCTTCTGTTGAGCCTCCTTCTATTGGCAGACCAAGGCGGCAATCATGCTCTCCTTCAAGAGGACGTTCCCCCAATGGTATTTCCCGTCCAACTGGAAGCTCTATGCCGGCAGTTAATCGTGGGTACTCTAGAGCGAATGACAATGTCAGTCCTGTTGTAATGGGCACCAAAATGGTTGAGAGGGTAATAAATATGCGGAAATTAGCACCACCAAGGCTCAATGACAAGAACTCTTCCCAGAATCTTTCTGGCAAGTCATCTTCGTCTCCAGATAGCTCTGGTTTTGGGAGATCACTCTCGAAGAAATCCTTGGATATGGCAATTAGGCATATGGTATGCATCTTCTGCACATTCCTGCATTTGTTCTACCTGTCGAGAAAAAATTTGCAATGCACCTGCATCTGAAATGGATCCAGAGAAACTTTTACATGCTTTGCTGGGCTTTTCCCTTAGTGTGCATTATGTCTCGAGGTTATATAGATATTTGAGAGTTTGTCATTTAGGGCCTTATCTCATTCCATACTTCTTTTAAATAATCAAATTAATCGGAACTGATTGTATTGTGTCCTCCTAATAAATTTTCTTTGTCTTTGAACAGGATATAAGGCGAAGGGTTCCAGGCAATTTACGGTCATCATTGATGACAAACATTCCGGCGTCTTCAATGTATAGTGTGAGGTCTGGGCTTCCGCGTAGCCGAACTGTTTGTATTTCGGGCTCTCCTCATGCCACTAGCAGTAATGCTAGTTCTGAAGTGAGTGTAAACCCTAATGGTCTATGTTTAGATAATAGTGAAATAGACGATGATATTGGCAGTGAGAGAAGTGATCAATCTCCTGCCAGTGTGCGGGGTAGGTAAACGGCTCTCACTCTGAGGAATCCTGTTACCTACAGTTTAATGGTTCAACCATTCTTGTCCTGAGTTTTCAGCCATATTGGATTTTTATATGGAGGTAACCATGCTTCAATCCATGTAAAGTTGCCGGAAGTGATATAACATTAAGGGAAGCTATTTGTAATTTAGATAGATCATCTTTATGCTAAAATTGTAATAATCATTTTTTTCAAGTGGTGTTATATCACACGAAAACTGTAGAAATGGTGTGGCATTGTATTTTTTGAGAAATGCTAGCAACATTTGATTTGGCACTTTTTATACCATTTTTTTTAATTTGCGGGTGACATTTCTAGTTCTAACATTTTTTTTTCACAATAATTTTAAAAAAGTATTAAAGTAGAATTTATTTAATTAATATTGAGTAGTTTTACAATTTTATAAAAACTTGTGAATTGATTCATGTAATAAAACTTTTAATTTATTAGATTAGTAAAATTTAATATTTATGAAAGAGTGATGACATTTTCGAGAAAAGAGTGTACGGAAAAAATTTATATGATTATGTCATCATTCGTAATTTTATTTGCAGGATTATATATATATATATATATATATATATATATATATATATATATACATTAAATGATATTTTATTGAATTTCACATGGAATATATATTAAATTATAATTAATTTTAAAATAATAAATGATAATTATTATAAATGATTGTATTTTAATCAAATGACTTTATTAATATTTTTTATATTGTTATAATTATAACTTAGTTTAAAAAATTAAAATTATTTTTTATTATTTATTAACGAAAACAAACTTACATTTACGAATATAGTCATAAAAGATAATTCAATATTCAGATTTAGAATTTTTTTATACAAAACTCATGGAATTTGTTTTCATAACAATATATGGTTTATGTAATATACCAATCTTAATTATGAATTCACAAATATTCTTTGTGAAATGTAAAATAACATAATAGCTATAATTGTAGGTCTTTAAAAAGTATTCAGCTTGTACTTTATGAAGATAATTTTTAAAAATTCATTCTAAAATAATTTTAATCGGCAAAATTATAGATATTTAAATAAATTGTTAAATGAAAGACGATTTTTTTATATTGGTCCTCCAGGTTGAAATATTGGCTTTACCTTCTTTACCAATATTTTTTTATTTAATATTTTTAAAATAATTTTGGAATTTAAAAATTAAAAAAATTATCTATTGTGAAATTATTTTTTTAAACTACAAAATTAAAATTGATAACAAATATTTTTTATTTTCAATTTTTATTAATGATACACATAATAACAAATAATTATATTACACAATCCATCTTTATCTATATAAAATTATTAAAATTGTTTTTTCATTTTTGGTTATAATAAAAACATTATCGTTCATCTATAATTATTTTCAAATTAGTTATATTAAACATTTGTGTCTTCAACTTATCTTTAAAAACAGTATTTAAAATTAATTGTTAAAACTAAATCAACCAAAAATTTCAATTTATTTTATGCATTTTCAAACATTTTATTTTGATTTCGATTTTAAAATAGGTTAAAAGTAATGCAATTTTTATAAAGATAAAGAAAAATAAGTTATTGAAACTATCTTTTCTATAAATTATTAGGACTATAAATTTTATTTAAGTATAATCTCTAAAATTAGTAGAAAATTTTTAAAAATAATTTAAAGAATAAAATAGGAAAAACCATGTCTAAATTCTTAAAAGATTTTAGAAAAAAATTATATATATGATAGTGCTTCACTCATTTATAAATAAAACATTTATAAGATTAATTATTATTTTTTCTCGAACAATTTTTTTTATTTGTCCATCTTTTTTTAAATACTACTTTTTATATCATATTTATTATTATTAAACAACAAATTATTTTTCTTAATTTTCCTAAAATACTAATAAAATTTATTTTAATTTAGTTGGTAATATATATATATATATATATATATATATATATATATATATATATAATAAAATTTGTAAATTATTTTATCGATCGAGTCTCAAATTTTTTATTTATTTTTATCCCTAAATTAATTATTACAAATAAAAAATTCTTTACAATGATTTTTAAGTATGTATAAAAAATATAAAAGAATGTATAAAAATATTAGGTAAATATAATTAAATATGTTAATATAGGTCGTAACTTGTGAGTCAACTTGACTCATAATTGATCTTGATTTTTTATTTATTTTTACTGATAATAAGTTAAAAATAAATTCAATTAACTTAATCTTAATTAATATTATTACGTGTTCCAACTCCACGATTTAGTTGTTCTTGTTAGAAAAAAATGTGAGTTAATAAATTATCCAAATTCAGTTTAGAATAGGATTGTGAAATTTTCTGACTCTCCATAAAATAAGTAAGATTGAACTCACTTATTTTCATGATATGAATTTATTTATTTTCAACTTAATCCAAGACAAGTCTTTTAATATTCATATTATGTAGTAAATTAGAAGACTTAAATCAAGTTAAAAGGATTAAAAATTATGTTCTAAAAATAAATAAAAAATATTTTATAAAAAATTATATTTAGAGAAACAATTCTTGTGTTTTAAACCTTAAAAGAATATATAATAAATAGTTATGATATCATGTTATTTGTTTATTTTATTTTATTTAAATTTTTTAAATGAATTTTAAAAAAATCATTATTTCTTCTCTTTTTCTCACTGCATTTATTTTGATTTTTTTTTAAATTATTGGATTTAAACAAATGCAAATGGAAAAGTATAAGATTAAACATAACTATATATCTATTTCAAAATACTCCTATATATATAAATAATAACCACCCAAGACGGTTGAGAAACCAAGGCGAAACGCCCGAAAAGGGAAGAAGAAGAAGATTCTATGGAGGAAAGGATGAAAAATGGTGGCATGGAAGAAAATATATGTTATTCGAAACTAACGTCGTTTCTTCAGAAAGATACCTCCTTTCTTACTCCTTGGAGTTGGGATGCCAACGCTTCAGATAACGAAGCTTCAACTTCCACAAAACAAGTGCAGTACCTTCAATTTCCACCTGGATCATATTTTTCCTTTTGCGTAAGTTTTTTGTTTCAATTTGTTATCACCAACTAAAAGCATTAAACAAACAAGGCTTCAGGTTCTTTTGTTTGTTTTGTTTAGATATGTCGCTGGTTGAATTTCAAAAAGAGGAAGAAGCCTCGGAATTACGATTATCTTCGAACTTCCGAAAATGAAAAGAGGATGATGGAGATTAAAGCCAGAATAAAGAAGAAGCTTAGACTTGTCAGAAGATTTTATCGTGGAGAATAGTTTCTTTCTTTCTTTCTTTCTTGGACTTAGATAGAACTGAAACTGTAAAAGAGATGCTGGTAACTTCTGCAGCATTCGGGCTTATCCAGTTTGAGATCTTCTAGACTCACTACTTTTTCCTAAACAATTCAAGCAATGCTGTTCTTTGTTATTCTTCCTCACTCTTTTAATTCTTTGCATAACTAAGAGGATAATAAAATCTGCCATTAATTACAACTTCAAAGAATACTGTTTGAAGTTTCATGTAAAATGCTACTGTTTAGTATTGGTTTCTATTATTTTTTTCTTCTCTTTTTGTCTCTTAGTTTTTCATTTTTATTAGCAATGACTAAAGAAAACGAATTTTGCGAATAAAAAGTAACAATTTCTAAAAAATGTAATCCTTTTTATACAATGTATATGCATAGACCACAATTTGACATATACAATAATATAAAGTTAAATTTTAATAATTGGATTATAAAAAAATTACATTTTTGCAGAAAATTAAGAATATATTTGAAAAATTAAATTTAAAGTTCATTCGAGTCATATGAAAAAAAAATATAGCTTAAAAAAATATCTCAATAAAATTGACTAATCATATTTTTTTTTAGAAAAATAATAAGTTGACACTCTCACCCAATAAATATTTATTAAATAACCCAATTTTAATAATATAATATTGATAAAACCTTTTAAATTTATATATTATTATTATTATTATTATTATTATTATAATAGTAAGTTATAGATTGGATGTATGAAATGAATAATAATGTCAAAATATCACTACCCATTCTTTTTAGCATGTATTAATTTATTGTAAAAGTTAGTAAACATTTTACATCAATACTATAATTATTAAAAAAATGTTTAAAATATAAGATGAGCAGTGATAAAAAAAAATAAAAAATATATTATGAATTTATTTTACATTTGAAAAAGTAAATAGTTAAAAAATTAAATATAAAGAGTATTTATCATAAAATTTTAATGCACTTTACATATTATTGTATTTTATTATAAATTAGTTATCTAAGAAAAATATTTATTGTAAATAACATAAAACTACATTATCTATTTCTTAAGTACTCTACTGATATATGCATATTAGTAACGCAATTTCATAAATTAATATGTGATTGAGTAGTAAACAGAAATTTTATTTACAAAAATACCAACATTATTACAGATCATTTTATTTATTTAAAAAGTTAGAAAGGTCAGTGGTAATAAATATTTTATTATTTTAAAATAAAATCAAAATACATTCTTCTTCTTTAACTTAACTACATTGATTTTATTTATTCTTTTATAAAAAAATTATATTGATTTAATTTCATATTCATCTGTTTTATTTATTCTCTTTAAATAAAAATGTCACCAGACAATAATGCATGCGTAATGAGGTACTTATTGCTTAAAACAAAAATACGAATATTTATAAATAATTATACTCGAATTTATTTCTTTATCAATTAAAATGACTAATGACTAAAATTTTAATAATATTATTTTTACAATATTAAAATTGATCTCCGTATTAATAAGAATGACTATAATTTAAATAATATTACTTTTATAAATAATGTTACTTATTAATATATATGAAAAACAAATACAAAATTATTTATTAAAAAATTAAATATTATTTTCTACCTCGATATTCACAACTTAAATTATTTTTATTAAAATATAAATATTTCTACGCTAAGATAAAATTTTATAAAAGATTTTAAAATGTAATGTTTATAAACCTTTTATAAATGTTTTTAAAATTAATATTTAATCATAATAATTAAACTACTTTTAAATTTTTATATAAAATATAAATATTTATAAAAACTAAAAAAAAATTGTAAAAATTTATTTTGATGGCTTAACTCTTAGGCAGCAATCCAATGTGAGTGAATGGTTTGTCCTTGGTTTCTCCTGGACACTTTATTCTCTCTTTCTCTGTCTCTTCGGGCACTCATCTTCGATGGCGAGTCTGTGGCGGGCAGCGACCGGCATGACGGAGAATCCCACCGACTACGATGGCGTCGAGTTTTGGGTTAACCCAGAGCGCACCGGCTGGCTTACCAAGCAGGGCGAGTACATCAAGACCTGGCGCCGCCGCTGGTTCGTCCTTAAGCAGGGCAAACTCTTCTGGTTCAAGGACTCAGCCGTCACGCGTGCCTCTCGGCCACGTGGCGTCGTACCTGTCGCCACGTGCCTCACCGTCAAAGGCGCCGAAGACATCCTCAACAAGCCCAACGCGTTCGAGCTTTCCTCACGCTCCGACACCATGTACTTCATCGCCGATTCTGAGAAGGAGAAGGAGGACTGGATCAACTCCATCGGTCGGTCCATCGTCCAGCACTCCAGATCCGTCACAGATTCCGAGATCGTCGATTACGATAACAACTCCGCCAAGCGCTAATCACGCGCTCTGCAGTCGACGTTCCTCTTTCGGTGAATTCTCTTTTTTCCTTTGTTTTGTGTTACCGTGATTGTGTATATTATAATTCTTATTATCATTACATCAATCGCCGATCGTGCTCGTTCTTGCGAGGAAACTCTGTTTATGTACTTGAACTGCTATGAAATGGTAATTTTTAGGGTTTTGTGGATTCGATCAATCTTTTTGATGTTGCTTCTGAATTTCAACTACTTTTAACTGAACAGAGTGGGAGATTTTCGTCGGTGTACTTAAGTTTGAGAGGTTTTGGGTTAACAGTTTCTCTTCTAATTGGAAACCTTGTTTATAGATTATAGTTTAGCCTCGGTTAGAAACCAACATCACCTCGTGACATCAAATTCGGTCTGGTTTCATTATCGGCTAATATCGTTGTTATTATGAGATTGAGATCGTTTAAGGTTTGATTGTTTATATCAATAAAAAGGTGAAAAACATGATTTGTGTTCCAATTGTGTTCCGTTATTCATGAGCAAATCCTGTTGCAGTGCGTTTACACGCAGCTGCGCTTAGCGAAAGTGTGAACTCACAAAAGTGGGATCAAAATGAAGAGATCCTTTGCATACAGAACCAATGCCTCCAGGGCCTACTAAATTGGATAAAGAAAATATCTAGGATGAGTGTAGGATCTGATTCTTATTGGTTATGCAAAAATTATAGGTTGAACCAATTTTTTAGATATATATTTAAGCCATTTTCGTTTGTAGGACAAGATATTATTGTACAGTGGATGGGAAAAGACAGCTATTTTGACATAATCTTCTCTCTCCAGATATGTTTGAATTTTTTATTTCCAATAAATTTTTTTATTCCTCATGCATATGGTAGGGTAGTATTATTTCCTCATCACTTTCATCCAAGAGATAGGTTAGTTGGTAGTCTACAATGTAAAGACTGATGCATCACTAAGTAGGAAGCTCAGAGGACAGTAACGTGTGAAGAAAAAAAGAGAGATGGATGTGAGACCCATCCATGGCAAACCCAGTTAATATCTTATCCCAAAAATGGTTCCTTAGAAAGACAGCTTCTGTTTGATTGCATTCAACTCCATTACCACATCTTTTATGCCCAACCGCCGAACAGGCAATTCTGCAGAACATGCTACTCCAATCCTAGCAAAGGACGCCAAACACTCTCTGATGTTAGTGTCCATGACCACCCCTGTTCCTTCTCTAGTATATGGTACAAGCAAACGTGAATCTACTATTTCAGGGATTCCTTCAGGAATTGCCATCATACAGAATTTGTGTAGGGTTAGACCCTCACCAAACATGTCATCTGTAGGTTTCTTTCCCGTGAGCATCTCCAAAACAAGAATTCCGTAGCTGTAAATATCTCCTTGTGGTGATACTCGAACACCTGCCCCGTACTCTGTTCCAACAAACAGCAGTTTAGATACAAATAACGGATATATTAAATGCAACCACGTATTATTGATTATAAACAAAATTTTTCAAAATCTAATTATAATACATTATTACATGTAAAAGTTTTATATATGGATATGTAATGGTTATTCAATCATATATACTAAATTATTGACTTATAAGAATTACTTGAAACGTCATATTGATATGATTTGAGTTAGTTAATACTATGTAATCGTACGCTAACCGTATGGTTTTATTAGAATGGAATTGAATGAGCAAGTGTTATTTGATAAGATGACGGTTCAAATTGTCCCATGTTGAGTAGGATAATTATTTGATGCGGTACTTCAGTTTTGGGGTTATAGCTATTTATAAAATGGATTAATGTGCAAACTAGACTTATAACTTCTCTTAACTCGATTTCAGTATTAAATTATCATCATTATTTTTATTTTAATTTGCAGAAAATATTTAAGATCACAAGTTGTTTTAATTTAGATCTCTAAAACCTATAATTAAAAATAATACTACATTCAAATAACTCATTTTCTAGAAGTTTTATCTTACCATATATAAAAAGAACCTGAGTTTTAATAGCTATTACAGTTCTTGGTTAAATATGTAATATTTATTATTACTATTTTTAAGTTTCTTAGCCTATACTTTCGAGTAAACCTTTAAGATAGTAAGTTCTTATAATCCAAGAATTTTAATAAACATCAGTCTTATTAATTCCTTATTTATCTTAAATTTAATTATAATTCTTAATTAAGACAAAATTCGATTTAATAGCTGTATATTTTATTAAGAATTATTATTATTATTATTATTATTAATTTAAATTTTATTTAAATTAATAGAAAAAGATTTAAGATATCTAGTTGTCAAAACTGGTACCTTTAAACGTTAAAATCATGAGGATGTTATACCCAATTAATTTTCTCTATTAATTATTTACTAATTTTGTTAAATATTTAGTCATTACAACTATTACAAAATAAGCTGTAAAAGTATTACGAAATGTAAATTATAATCTTTAAGGATTAATATGATAATCGTTAATGTTATTACTTGTCAGAAAATATCATGTTATTAATTTTGGTTTGCATTTGGTATCTTCTTGATAATTCTAAAAGTTTTGAAACCAATTAATTCACAACGAATGAACTTATATACTTCACACAAGTGTACCTATAGTGAATTAGAAATCAAAATGTGACAAATCCATACCAAACCAATTCCCGCAAGGCAAAGGAAATAATCATAAAAAAAAAAGGAAAAGTAAAAAAATATAAGAAAGGGAAGCTTTCAATAGGGGATTTTTTCAATTTTCCTTAAAAGGAATGTTTTTTCTAATTTTCGTTTTGGTTTTTTCGTATGGAAGAACGTGTGCAGCCATGATATAGGAAAGGATAAGGCTTCATGGTTGTCATGACTTGAGAACTGTGACAAACACAAAACAGCCATGTAAGGAGGAGCCATGGATGGTGACATGTTTATAGTGGAATGGTGGGAACAAAAGAAGGAAGGGGAACAAGAAGCAAAGAGTGAAGTGGAGCTACATCGGAAATTATTTTCGACAGTGCCAAACAGCAACAGCAAAGGCATACTTCACCCTAATATTTGTTTTCTCTTCCTTTTTAGCTAGCACTGCATACACTTTTACCTTCTTTACTCTTAATTATTCACATTGTAATGATAATTCTCATATGTAATTTGAGTGACAATATTGTTAATATCTAATGCTGTTATTGCAACAAGGTAATTCAAAAACACAGGTAAAAACATTTTAAAGAATAGAAAAGTTTACCTGGGGGAACATATCCAATGGTTCCTTTAATTGCTGACGAACTAACCTGATCTCTACTCGCATGTCCCATGACCACATTAAGGAGCCTTGCTAACCCAAAATCCCCTAAGTGGGCAACAAAGTCATCATCAATAAGAACGTTGCTTGGTTTAATATCACAGTGGACTACAGCTTGCTCAGAACCATGATGAAGATAATCCAATGCATTAGCAACATCAAGAGCAATATTTACCCTAAGTTGAAGGTTGATATTTAAATTTCTAGATTCGAGCACTTCGTCGCTGTGCAACAAACTTTCTAGACTCCCAGTACCCATGAACTAAAAAACTATAGCCTTGAAATCATCCCCATTATAATCAATACCTGAAAAATAAGTCAGGATGTTAAGTACATTCTGGTGCTTGATCTTTTCTAGAGCCTTGCATTCAGCTGTGAAACACTTTGACGCCCCACAAGCTTCAAGATTCAAGACCTTTACTGCAACAGATTGTTCAAAATGGAGAAGATATCCTCTGTACACGGAACCATAGCTACCAGCACCTACTAAATTGGACGAAGAAAATCCATTGGTTGCTTCATGTAGCTCTCCATAAGAAACCTTCAAATACCTATTTTGCAGAGACCGTGACGAATAAAATATTTTGGGCTTTTTCCTGAACAAATAGTTACTCATAAATATTATGGAGCTGATCAAAACCCCTCCAATTCCAATTCCAATTCCAATTACAATGATGAGGATGAGTTTCTTACTAAGAGACCACTTGTTTTTCCTTGAGGGAACCCTAGAGCATGCAGGGAGTTTCAGCTGAGGTATCCCCCCACAGAGATTCTTATTTCCAATGAGTGAAATTGCCGTAACATTATTAAAGACACCTCCTGTAGGAACCTCACCATAAAGCTGGTTAAACGACAAGTTCAAAGTATTCAAATAACTCAACTTATGTAGTTAAGCAGGGATTGTGCTTGAGAAGTTGTTGTTAGAAAGGTCGAGGAGTTCAAGGGACCCGAAAGCGCCCAAGAACGAAGGTATCCTTCCACGAAATAAGTTTCTCTCCAACAGAAGCTCTGTTAATCCGGAACAAGCGCCAAGTTCTGGGGGTATTTCACCAGACAATTTGTTTTCGTATAGATGTAATATAGAAAGGTGCTTCAAGTTTCCAAACTCTAAAGGGATGGAACCAGTGAAAGAGTTGGTGGATAAGTCAAGATTTATCAAACCTTCTAGATTACCAAATGCTTGGTTAGGAATATTACCACTCAAGTTGTTGCCGGAAACTCCAAATGACTGCATGCGAGTACAGTATTTGAGGCTTAATGGAATGCTTCCTTCGAATTGATTGGTGTGCAGATAAAGTTCAGACAACATAGTAAGATTGCCAATGGCAGTAGGAATATAACCAGACAATTTGTTTTCTTGCAGGGCCAATCTTACTAGATTTTTAAGCTTTCCAATTGAATCTGGAATGCTTCCCTCCAGATAATTGTCTACCATGATGAAGTTAGTTAAACCGATTAGTTTTCCAATTCCTTCAGGTATCATTCCCGATATTTGATTAACCGCCATACTAAATGAAGTAAGGTGGGTAGAAAAATTGCCAATGAGATCCGGCAGCGCACCACCAAATTCATTCCAATCTAAAAGAAGTATCTTCAATCGAGTACAATTGGTTAATGAGGAAAGGAAATCTAAATCTTGAGCTCTCCCACTTCCAAAACTATTATCACAAATGCTAAACTTCTCTAGTTTTTTCAAGCTTCCCAAAGTGGGAGGAATTGGTCCAGTAAAACCATTTGAGGAGATATCAAACCCTTGTAATCCAGTGATGTTGGATATTGAAGAGGGGAATGTTCCATTGAACTTGTTGCTTCCAATCAAGAATGCTCGAAGATGTGGAAAAGCAAGTTGTATGTTTGATGGAAGAACACCAAATAACTGGTTTTCCCCGAGAACAAAAATTTGAATATTCGAAAGGTTGTAAAGAGAATTAGGCACTACTCCTGACAAATTATTTAAACCAAGATTCAACTCTTTCAAATTTGATAACCGACCCAAAACATGAGGTATACTTCCTTCCAGATGATTTCTTGCAACTGTAATATTTTGGAGGCATGAAAGATTCCCCAAGGAAGGTGGGATAGTTCCAACCAGATCATTGGCACCAAGAAGCAACTTATTAAGCCGTGTCATGGATCCAAGTCCAAACCAGGAGGGAAATTTTCCGGTGAGTTTATTGTACAGCAAGTTAACTACCTCAAGTTTAGAGCAATTATTAAGATGTATAGGAATCTGACCATGAACATTGTTATGGCTCAAGTCAAGAATCTGCAACCTCTTTAGCCGACCAATTTGTTCAGGAATTTGACCATGCAAGTTTATGTTGGAAAGAATGAGGCTTCTGAGGAAGGTTAGATTTTCCAAAGGTGGTCCAAGAGTTCCACCCCAGTTTTGATGTTCCAAGTTCAAGACAGAGACTCTCATGTGGCGATGTCCGCATGTAACACCCTGCCATTCACAGAAATGCAGAGAGTTGTTCCATGATGGAAGAGCATTAGGCACTCCATTGGTGAGCTTCTGTTTCAAAGCAAGTAAAGCTAGCTTATCACTCTCTGAACTCAAAACAAGAGCAACTGTAGCTGGTGTCATGTACCCCAAGGTTAGCGAAACAACACTCAGAAGAAACATTATTAGAGTTACAGCCATCGTCTTATGTTTATTTATCAGCATCCTTAAAAACCATCTATAAGTAATCCATTGTGTATGTAGAATGTTGAAGCACTATTGGCATCTTCCAAAAGATGGACGCGGTTTCTCTTGTTTCTTCTGTGTTTCCAAACAAACGGTTCAAATCAGTCATTACATAACTTTGACGTGTGGATTTACATATTGACTGAATTTTTCTCCACTGGACAATGATTCTAAAACATATTAATAAATTTGCCAAGTTTATTTTAATTTTTTGAAATGGAAGATGTCGAATTACTTTCAACGAAACTCAATTCCATTATTGTTCTTAAAATGTAATGCAAATATCATAGCTATGTTTGTTTATTCATAAATCTTTAAAAGACGTACGAAAAATGATTTAGTTTAACTAGTATGAAAAGGTATAATTGATTTTCTAATTGAATTTTGTCCTAATGAGAACACAGAAAGTTCTCAGGTTCATTTTCCCAACATACATTTATCTTGACTTCGTGCGTGAGGAGTGGGATGTTTAAATGGGCCCAGGAATGTTTAAACTTATGTAATTGTTGTTCATCAATCAAATAATTTACATTTCATTAAATAAACTATACATTTCCCAGGTAAAATTCTAAATATGTTTGAACAATATTTCATATTTATATATGTAAATTTCTTCCGTAAGAAAGTATTTTATCCTAAGACCGATATAGTAAACTTTCATTGAGAAAACTGTTATCAGGACCAAACTAATTTTTTAATGAATAAAGAATCAAAACAATTTTCATGATAAAATAAAATACATGCAGCACTTGCAGGGTCCACAATCTCACCTCAAAGCATCGACGGTGGCTGCGAAATCAATGAACGACGGAGATGGAGAACTTGATTGCCGAAATTAAAACCCTGGAAAGGAAATAAATTATCTTTAGGTTTATAATTTTATTGAGTTAATGTCACATTTTATATTATTATTATTATTATTATTATTATTAAAGGAACCAAAATTAAATTTTAATAAAAATATAATGAAAAAAAAAAAGTATTTAACTCGATAAATTTATATCATAATCTCCATTACTGTTACACCATCAAGTAGAAATGGAGAGAGTTCAAAGGAGATAAACATGTGAAACAAAAAAATTATCCAGCTTAGAGGCAAACACAAGAAATTTTTATAACAAAAATTGTAACAAGTGCTTAGTGATAGAGTTTGTGTTTGATTTTATGCAACTCCACCACCACATCTTTTATGTCCATTCGCTCAACTGGCAATTCTGCAGAACATGCTACTCCAATCCTAGCAAAGGCCACCAAACACTCCCTAATTTTGCTTTCCCTCATCCTTCTTCCATCTTCAGTAGTTGGCAGAAGCAAACGTGAATCTACTATCTCACCAATTCCTTCTGGAATTGCCATTTGGCAAAATTTGTGTAGGCTTAGACCCTCTCCAAACATGTCATCTGTTGGTTTCATTCGCGTGAGCATCTCCAGCACAAGAATTCCGTAGCTGTAGATATCTCCTTTTGTTGATACTCGGCAACCTGCTCCATACTCTGTTCCAACAACAATCTTTCTTTTATCAGTAAATATGAAAGACATGTCAAAATAGACTAATACATCTAACGTTTTGTCACTATTAATCCACCACGTTAAGCAAATTTAGTTGCACAAAAATTATTTTAAAATTCAAATTTAATGTAATTTTAATTAGTTGATACAGTATAAAGAATGATATTGAATGGCGCAGTTGATAAAATCAAGGTTTGTTTCAGCTGAAGAAGACCTTGACTTTGAACAATTAGGGAGTAATCAATAATAAAGTAAATCCAAATGACAATGATTTATCTCAAATCAAATACAAAATCAATGTGATAACTGATGTTGCTACCAGGTAATTCAAAAACCATAGGTAACCATTTTAAAGGATAGAGAGGCACTTTACCTGGTGGAACATACCCAATGGTTCCTCTAATTGCAGAGGAACTAACCTGATCTCTGCTGGAATGACCCGTGACTACATGAAGAAGCTTTGCTAACCCAAAATCTCCCAAGTGGGCAACATTGTCATCATCAAGAAGAACGTTGCTTGGCTTAATATCACAGTGAACTACAGCTTGCTCAGAACCATGATGAAGATAATCCAACGCATTAGCAACATCAAGAGCAATATTTATCCTATGTTGAAGGTTGAGACTGAAATTTCTAGACTCCAGCTCTTGGTTGTTGTGCAGCAAACTTTCTAGACTGCCATTAGGCATGAACTCAAAAATTATAGCCTTGAAATCTTTCCCATTATAATCAATGCTTGAGCAACAAGTCAAGATGTTGAGAAGATTCCTATGCATGATCTTTCCCAGAGCCTTGCACTCAGCTGTGAAACTCTTTGATGCCCCACCTGTTTCTAGATTCAATACCTTCACGGCAATAGGTCTTTTAAAAGAGAGAAGAGATCCTCTATATACAGAACCAAAGCTTCCAGACCCTATCAAATTGGATGAAGAAAATCCATTGGTTGCATTATGCAGCTCTCCATAAGAAACCCTCAGGTACCTATTTTTCGGAGACCATGAAGCCAATGATGTTTTGGGCCTTTTCCTGAACAAATAGATGCTGATAAACAGTGTCAAAGTAACCAAACCCACTCCAACAACAACTGCAATGATGAGAACGAGTTTCTTCCTAAAAGACCACTTGTGTTTCTTCGATGGTAACTTAGAGCATGCGGGGAGGTTCAATTGAGGTATCCCCCCGCAGAGATCTTTATTTCCAATGAGTGAAAGAGCTGCGAAATTATTAAAGACACCTCCTGTAGGAACCTCACCATACAGATGGTTAAAAGACAAGTTCAAAGTATTCAAATAACTCAACTTTTGTAATTCTCCAGGGATTGTGCCTGAGAAGTGGTTGTCAGAAAGGTCTAGGAATTCAAGGGATCCTAAAGAGCCCAAGAACGAAGGTATGCTTCCACTGAAGAAGTTTCTCTCCAACACAAGCTCTATTAACGCAGAACAAGCGCCAAGTTCGGGGGGTATTTCACCAGATAATTTGTTTTCGTATAGATGTAATATGGAAAGGTGCTTCAAGTTTCCAAACTCTAAAGGGATGGAACCAGTGAAAGAGTTGGCGGATAAGTCAAGATTTATCAAACCTTCTAGATTGCCAAACGCTTGGTTAGGAATATTACCAATCAAGTTGTTGCTGGAAACTCCAAATGACTGCATGCGAGTGCAGTATTTGAGGCTTAATGGAATGCTTCCTTCGAATTGATTGGTGTGCAGATAAAGTTCAGACAACATAGTAAGATTGCCAATTACAGTAGGAATATTACCAGACAATTTGTTTTCTTGCAGGGCCAATCTTACTAGATTTTTAAGCTTTCCAATTGAACCTGGAATGTTTCCCTCCAGATAATTATCTACCATGACGAAGTTAGTTAAACCGATTAGCTTTCCGATTCCTTCAGGTATCATTCCAGATATTTGATTAACCTCCATACTAAATGAAGTAAGGTGGGTAGACAAATTGCCAATGAGATCTGGCAACGCACCACCAAATTCGTTGAAATCCAAATTAAGTGTTTGCAAATGAGTACAATTGATTAATGATGAAAGGAAATCCAAATCTCCAGCTTTCCCACTTCCAAAACTATTATTACCAACGCTAAAAATCTCAAGTTTATTTAAGCTTCCCAAAGTGGGAGGAATTAGCCCAGTAAAACCATTTGAAGAAATATCAAACGCTTGCAATCCAGAGATGTTGGATATTGAAGATGGGAAAGTTCCATTGAACTTGTTGACTCCAACCAAGAATGCTCGAAGATGTGGAAAAGCAAGTTGCATGTTTGATGGAAGAACACCAAATAACTGGTTTTCCCCGAGAACAAAAATTTGAATATTGGAAAGGTTATAAAGAGAATCAGGTACTACTCCTGACAATTTATTTAAACCAAGATTAAACTCTTTCAAATTTGATAACCGACCCAAAACATGAGGTATACTTCCCACCAAATGATTTCTTGCAAGTGTGATATTTTGGAGGGATGAAAGATTCCCCAAGGAAGGTGGGATAGTACCAACTAGATCATTGGCACCAAGAAGCAACTTATAAAGCCGTGTCATGGATCCAAGTCCAAACCAGGAGGGAACCTTTCCAGTGAGTTTATTGTACAACAAGTTAACTACCTCAAGTTTAGAGCAATTATTAAGATGTGTAGGAATCTGACCATGAACATTGTTGTGGCTCAAGTCAAGAACCTGCAACCTCTTTAGCCGACCAATTTGTTCAGGAATTTGACCATACAAGTTGATGTTGGAAAGAATGAGGCTTCTGAGGAAGGTTAGATTTCCCAACGGTGGTCCGAGAGTTCCACCCCAGTTTTGATTTTCCAAGTACAAGACAGAGACTCTCATGTGGCGGTGACTGCATGTAACACCCTGCCATTCACAGAAATGCAAAGAGTTGTTCCATGATGGAAGAGCATTAGGCACTCCATTGGTGAGCTTCTGTTTCAAAGCAAGTAAAGCCAGCTTATCACTCTCTGAACTCAAGACTAGAGCAACTCTAGCCGGTGCCATATACACCAAGGTTAGTGAAACAACACTAAGAAGAAACATTATTTGAGTTACAGCCATTGCTTTGCATAGAGTAGGATACGAGGTGCAAACATGAAATATTTATTTTTTATAGATTGTTTTTATCATCATCCTTATTTTCTCCACTGAGTAAAAGTCAGTCATTGCATAACTTATTCATTGACTAAACTTTTGTCCACTATATTGACTGTTGATATATATATATATATATATATATATATATATATATATATATATATATATATATATATATATATATATATATAACTTCTAAAATATATACTAATTTTTCCCAATTTTGTTTTGTTTTTAAAATGAAAAATATCAAATTGTTTGTCAAGTAAATTTATTGTTCTCAAAATATTACTAGTGCTAATTAGAGAATGCTATTCTGATTAGCAAAACTAATTAATTTCATAAATTAACAAAAATTGTATATATTCAGTAGCAGATATATATATATATATATATATATATATATATATATATATATATATATATATATTATTGTTACAAACTTTCTTAAAGTTATGATATGACTAAGAACTATTTTTTATATAAAAGGATTTTTTTGTCCATGTACATCATCCACCCATGAATTAAGGTTTCATTTTAGAATAATCTGATTTAATTACGAGATAAATTAAGTTTGATAAAAAAGTTTTTCTCATTAAGAATTGAATTTGTATAATCCCAAACAATTTAACATTGTAATAAACTACTTTTATAATTAAACCAGTTCAATCGCGCTTATATTAATTTATTTTAAAAAATTTGATTATTTTTCTAAACTATTTCTTAAAGAATTATACGTATGGTAAGATTAAATTTAAATCGAAGCCTTGGAAATTAGGAGTCTTTCACGTTGTAAAACAAGTGGCTGCAAATGATTTGAAGGAAAGAAAGTGAAGGCCATGAAAACGATTAGCAAATTTAATTTAAATAAAACGTCGTAACTAAAGTTTTTAAAAAGGACAACGTATAAGTTTCTACCATACTTTTTCTCCAAATACTGTTTCTTTTACATCTATATTACATGAATAATTGTAACTAATCTGGATCATTCTCTCTTCCACCTTCCGAAATTCTTCCATTAATCTGGTTTCAGACATTAATTTCTGTGCTTTCCTGGAAAGTGGATTGATTCTTGACTTATTACTGGAAAGTGAGTGACTGATATGACGTGAAGTTTTGTTGTGCCAACAATTTGTCTTCCAAAACCAGCTCCCACCAAAACTTTTATTTCTCACACGCAAGAGAGACGACTCCAACGTGACAAGATGTCAAGATTCATTTCATTGAATGTAGAATTGGTGATGTCTTATGAATAATCAATTGATATATCTTTTAAATCGTCTCAAGTCTCATTTTCTCTTTTTTATTCGTTTATTATATAATAATTAAGTTCTTTAAACTAAGTTAGGTATAATAATTTAATTTAAAGAAGATGTTGTAATTTCTTTTAATAGTAAAATTTTATTATTATTTATTTTTAGTTTTATTTTCTATTTTTTATTTTTTATTTTCACGAAACTTAATTTTTTTCTGCCCATTTTTTTGTAAAAATTTGTTTAAATTTAAAGAAAAACTTATTTCTTATCATTTTTACAAAAATTTTAAAAAATATTTTGATAAAAAATGAGAATTTTTAGTAGTATTTAATTGTAAGTTATACATTTATTTTAATTCTTAATAGTTATATCAAAATCAATAGTGTACTCGAATAAATGTATGATACGAAAATATTTATATCTAAAAAAAATTATTAGATAATTGAAATGTTAATTTAAATCTTATATTGAGAAAAAATAAAAAAATTAAATAAAAAATATAATTCATAATTCAATATCTCCAAATTTTAAATTAAAAATAATATCAATTTTTTTTATGTAGATTAAACTTATATTTCGTTCATATTATACCAGGAAAAATAATGTCGTTTATCATTTATTTTATGGTTTAGTAATTTTCAAACAAAATACTTGTATTTTTTTTATTTTTCGTCGCATATTTTCATAAATAAGAAAATTTATAATATTTTACATTGTTGTCAATATTAAAAATAAGAACTTAATCGTAACATAATAGGATAGGTAGAGTATATTTAAATTAGGAATCACTAAGCATGATAATATATTTATTCTTCAAATTTTAATTACAAAATATCTTTTTATTGATATATTAACTGTTTATCGGAATTAAACTAAAAAAAATACATAAAAGAATAAAAATATGTTTTTTACTTATCTCCTATACAAGTATTTTTAAATTAAAAAAATAAAGGAATGTTTCACACAAACAATCAAGAAGTTGGTTAAAAGCTAAATAATTAAAACATTATTTTTGTTATTATTAATTTAGGAATATTATTAACTTAAACTTTGCATGTTTAATTTTTTTATACTATCAATATTAAATATTTTATGTTATTAATTAATTAGAAATTTCCGTGCTTAAGTGTCTGCATATCTATTACATTAAAGTATAATACAGTTTTTTCAAAAATTTTGGTAATAATGATTTTGAAATAATTCTGTGAATAAATAAATTTTTTTATAATATATATTTATTTATTTTATGATAGTTAATAATTTAAATTTTCAACTCCAAATTTATTCATTTATTTTATGCTAGTTTTTATATTGTAAAAAGATAATACGCATTTTAAGAAATAAGACGTTGTGATACCAACTTTATTCTAAAGTAACAAATATTTTAGAATAAATTAAGAATTTCATTTTAAGTTACCTTCTAACTTTTATTTACTAGCAATTTGTTTAATCATACTAACAATTTAACTTCTAACTTTACTTTCTTATTTATTATTTTATAATCTTAAAATATTTATTAAATTTACTCTTTTAGCATAAGGAGGAATTTTATTATTCATTTTTAGTTTTTAATATTCTGTTCTAAATATTTTTGTATTACAGTTTATTGTAACCATTTTACGATGTACATATTTATTTTATTATTCAACACTATCCATGGTATTAACATACAATCATTTTACCATACTAAGCAATATATATTTAAATTGTTGTAATTATTTATAATGTCTATCATGTTATTTTGATTTTTAATTTAAATTTGATTGAAACATTTTAAATTATAAGATTGAGAAATATGAAAAAAAATTGGGAACCAAAAACAAACACAATAATTTAAATATAAAACAAAACATATAATATTTTAAGAGTAATTTAAAAACTAAATTTGTAAATGCACAGAAATATTTTTTATCTATTAAATAAAATCAAGATTTATATAAACATTATATTAATCTCCTATCGTTTTACATTTGTGTATTGTTTAAATAGATAAATTTATAAATACTTACAATTTAATACGTCATTTTAACTACTTTCCTTATTCAACTATACTATTTCTGAAAGAGTTATTTTCAACTTTAAACTACCGTACGTCACTTTTGTCAAATAAAATATAAAACGCCTATAACTCTTAAACTTAAAAATAACATGAAATATATTTTGCTTTCAAAATATCACGTAATTTTTTCATTTTCTATCTATTATACGCTGTGAGCTGCTGCAATTTAAAATTAAACGAAGCATGTCCATTGTTAATGAATCATAAATAACTAAACTAGGATCTTTGCAGCCTAAAAATTTGACTTTTGATTATTCACCTGGCATGAGCCAACTTTGAAAGTATAATTCACCAAAAATCCTACCTTCTTCTCAGTTCTAAAATTTTCTAGCAGTCTAAAGCGAAACTGCCAGAGTTTATGAGGCCATTATGTCTAGAAACTTGTGAGGGTTTCGTCTGTAAATGGGAAAGGGTATGGCAAGCATACCAATAAGCCTAAGAGCAAAACTGTTATTCCAATAGCAACATATTTCTCACCAGGATCAGTTATTTCCTCGGAGAGAGGAGCGATTGGACCTCTTTGCAAGAAGAATACGAGAACTACCCAGTAGAAAGCTACATCATTAAGCAGTGACGAGAGTCCCAGCAACGCAATTGAAACTCCTGTGAAGCGTAATGAAGCCTGTGGAAGAGACTTAAGTCAATATCCTCACGTAAAAGAAAATAAAGGTAATGTAATTTGTCAAATGTTATTATGATACTGGCAAGTCATGTTTCGCTTAAAAAGTTTCCTTGTTCAAAAAAGTACTAAATCTGGTACCTTTCTTCCCCATAGGGCAAAAGAAATTCGCCCTCCATCAAGCTCTCCGGCAGGAATGCTGTTGATGGCATTGATAAGGAGTCCAGCCCAAGCCCAAATCACAAGAGGGTTGATAGAAATTGAAGTTCCTTCCTTGAGAACGTTACCAAGAAGCAGCTTTGCTAAAAAAGCAAATAAAAATTGTCACTAAATATTGATTTTCTAAATCATTGAAGCAGCAGATTAAAATATTCAGTACTATATCAGGCAACCACGGGAATAAATGTTACTCTTCTGTAATGTTAGCTACAGCATATACATACTCATTTGAAATTATTTTGATAAACCCATAAATGAACGCAGACACAATTCTATCTAAATTTCTTTATGCTTACAGCTTACCAATACCGCCGGCAAGAAACGACTCGTGAAACACAGAAGCATCAACAATAACACCAATACCATCACTGGGAGGCAAGACAAAACCAAGAAGCAGAAGCAAAATACCCAAGGAATAGCCAGCTATTGGTCCAGCAGCTGCAACCTTGAGCAGATCTTCGCGATTGGGTACTATGTTTCTTATCCTCGTAATGGCACCAAAAGAGCCTATCTGCCGACCAAATTACGCATCAGAATTTCTGTTTCTTGTATTTGGATGTTTGAAATTCTACATATCAATAAGAGGAAAATTGGCCATTGAATATTGACGCCAAACTATACCATATAAATTAGTTAGCAAGAAACATACGAAGAAAAGGTATAACTCCATTCATAAAGTACCACAAGTTTAACTAATATATGAGAATTAAGATAAATGCCGCCACTTTTAGGGACCAATTATAGTCATGCAATTCCGAAGGCAGGACTTGACTTTGTAGAAAAGCAACACAAGCAATTCCCAAATGACAAT